TATTTTTCCATAGCTTTATCTAGTCTGTTCTTGAACGCGTTCATACNAACGTTAGCCTTGCCCTCATCAGAGGAAATCTTTCGTTGGTCTACTTTCAAATCAGATATACCGTCCTTTGACTTACACTTCGAACTAGCGTACAAAAAGAAGGCTTTCGGATTCTTTTTGGCATTTTTAGCAATATTTTTTTTCAAAGTTTTTCACTGCAGTGCGACAAACTTTTTTAGCTTGATTTCGAGCTCTGGCATAGCCAGAACAATTATTCATCCTTCAACATTCATTTGCACTCAACATTCAACCTTCTACAATATTCAACACTGCTCAATATTATTCCACATTATCCATGTACTAAACATTCTAGCACATTCAACCGTACCAAACATTCCTACCTATTGCGGGTATGCAAAATGGTATTAGGTATGCAGACGGCAATGCAAAATATTCTCTCACCTTAACCAGTATTAAACCTTCTCCCATACTCACCATCACAAAACAATCACATATATTGTTTACAATTCTTCCGAAATAAACACTTAAATCAGTCCTCAAATTTCTCCCAAAATATTTACAAACAACAGCCTAGTGTATCTACAGGGCTCAATTGAAACCATTTAAACATAGTGCAAATTCAATATGGTAGCTAATTCCTGTGTTTCCAGGTACGAAGTACATAAAATTTAATTAATTGTTAGAGGTAATGCAATTCAGGGCGAGATGACTTTGCACGAGTCTATAAAATTCTGCCTACACTGGTTGCATCAACTTGTGAAGAAGAAGAGATCAATTGCTACCTACGAAATTCCTGTTGGAACTTGTGACCATCCTAACATTGCCATGTTCAATGGGAAGTTTAGAAATTTATACTCTAATAACTTGTAATTCATCGAAAATAACCCTATTCGTAGCACTTCGATTTCACTCTGGTACCAAACCGGATGATACAACGAAAAAAAAACATGTAATTATAGTGAGAGAGCCACTTGGTTACTTACGAGATACGACTGCGATTTGTATGCATGTTTGTACGTGTTTCTCTTGCAGCGGCTAGGTGACTGACTGCCTGCTTGGTGAAGACTAAACCCAACCGTGCAGTCGAACTCTTGACTGAACTTACATTTCGACATATGGATCCAGCTTTCGAACTTGACGAATTAGTAATTAGAACCTAAATTATATGGACACAAGCAGCTAAAATAATACGCTCAAACCTGCATATACCTCAAGTTAAAAATTTGCATTGCTGCCAGCTCCAAAATCTTTGAAGTTCAACTGAGTTGTCTAGCAGACCATCATCATGGCGCCACACCGACTATTCACGTATTGCCGGGTCAGTGTCGCGTTTTTCAATGAACTCCACTCAAAGAACCATTGCACAGGAAAACTAAGAAATTTGTAGTTTCTAATAATGCTCAGCTTTTAAAATCTATTATTTTCAAGTCAAATACTTCACAAGTTGACTTTCACACTACGATTACAAGACTGAAATGAGCAACGTTTGCTGTTCAACATGTGATCATTACTAGAGTCACTAGCGAACTGCCGCCGGCAAGGCAAACGAACGTGTAGCGTCTTGTACGCGTCCACTCACTCACTCCAGCTAGCTGCATCACGCTAAACAGTGAAAATATTTAAACATATAACAAGTCAAGCATCAAATTTTGCCCTTTGAACATGATAAAGTAACTATGAAGAACAAGAACCGTAAAGCATTGACCAGCTCATGTCATCGATTTTATTCAAATTAATGACTGAACTTTCTTTAATTCGTTCAAATAGTAGTCAGGAGCCTGAGCACAGTTGGATATTGTGTTTACACTCACGCCCAGTAACACCCAGTAACCGCAAAAAAATAAAACGATCATAATTCACTGAAGGAATTATGTGATCCGCGCCACAATATGATACAATATTGTAAACTTCACCTGAAAATATTGAAAGTTTGCAGACCTTGTTTAAAATAACCGAAGGTACATTGTTTAATGCCTGTCATCAGGCAGTGCACTGTCATCACAATATCAAGCAGTTTCATCCCAAATAATAGCGACCTGAATATTTTATAAAAAACTTCTAGGCCTTTTATGCAAAATCGAACGTTCATCTGCAGCTTTTTCTGCCAATTAACAGCTTACATATTAATTATGTATGTTATGATAAGGACTTGAAATTTATCTCATGGAGCCAAAAGCATTAATGTTATACTGTCACGTACTTATCAAGTCAAGTATTCTTCTTTCTTGCACCCCTAATTCAAATTCCATTCCTTCAAGCAGTCTGTGGTTTTTAAATATTGAGAAATAAATTAAGATATTTTTGTCCTGTAATTAATTAAATCACCATCTAGCTACTACGTAAGCTCAAGAAATTGGTAAAGTCAATTCTCATTTCGCATCATTGTATGCCTTAACAAACGTGCGCGTGTACATACATCGATGCCATTCCATGAGCGGGTGATGGTCATGGTTCGCTCAAATACTAGCGTCTGACATGAGACAGCCTCGCCAGCTGCACTTTTTTGTTATGTTACGCATATTCGGCCCATCGTGCAATCGACCCACGCAATAAACTCTTAATTTCCAGGCTAATAGGGTAGATTGCCTATTCGCACCTGATTCACCTCTAGCCGAGTCGATGAAACCCGGGGCGACCCTAAATGGAATATAAAATTCGACTGGGATATCCCTCTCACCCGCATATCACAAGATACAAATACCGCGCTTTTTAACTACCATTTCCTCTATGCCATTTCAGGTTACATCTTGGCCGATGCAGGCTACGATGTGTGGCTTGGCAACTTTCGAGGCAACACCTACAACCGCAACCATACAAGTCTTAATCCGGACTCTGACAAAAGCTTCTGGCATTTCAGGTAGCGCCACTATTGACCGCGCAATATCATGAATCTTTATTACTGCGAATTTTAGGTTTACAAAATTTAAATATTAGAATTGAATAAGTTTGCGACTTATTTGCATAATAATCAGTAATGTAACTTCATATGTGTGTTCGTTTGCACCCAGGTATAATGGGACCAGAACAGTGCAAGATATATCTTGACTTTGTTTTGACTTTAAATTTCAGTCGGGATGAAATGAGTGAATATGACGTGCCAGCAATGATTGACCACATCATCACACAGACAGGCCATAGACAGGTGATGTTCCTCGGCTATTCCCTAGGTGGAATCATTGGTTTAATGACAGCCACCAACAGAACGGTAGCTGAAAAGGTGAAATAATAGAAATTAAGATTTAATATATAGAAATTGAGAAATTCAATAGAAATTATGATATAATATGACTAACAAAACAATTGATTTAATACTATTGATCTTAATCAATTTTGAGATCGCAAAATAGGGAAAAAGTTTAATAGAAATGAATCATATTACACTGGTCAGTGAAAATAATTGTAAACATTGTTCTGATATCTTTTTTGTAGGTTATACTTGTACAACATTTCCACAGCAGATTTCGAAACTATTTTTAATTATCTAACATGTTTTAATTCTCTAGCATTCTCTTTTTTGAATAATCGCATTCTTTTGTTAAATATTTTTGATAATTAAATACGTATATATAATTACACTGGTCAGAGGAGAAAATTTTTCTGAAATCATTTTGTTTGAGCTGGAAAGCATTTCGCCAGCTGATTTCAAAACAGTCTTTCTCTCAAGCACGTCTAGTTCTTGAAATATTTCTATTTAAGCAAATATTTATGGTAATTAGCTGGTATAACTGGTCCTACAAACGGCACAGCAAGTTAACACGAACACTTCTGATGTAGCTCCTATAAGACAAGGTGAGCACTTTTGAGTGTTATGTATACTTTTGATCATATGTAAACTCAATAACTATTTGAGGTCTTCGTTGTTCTTCTGAAGCAGAAACTTAATATGATTGTACATCGAACTAGAGCGTCATTTTATGTTTATTTGTGTATAACATATATAAAAAGTTAATTATTTTCATAGGTATAGTTTGTTTGTTCTTGCATTAGGTCCTAAATAGTCACAATCACCACAGACATATTTAGATGTATTCTACAAGTAATACATATGGAAGTAATTGATGAGAAGTAATATAATTTAATTTAAAGGGATCACTTTGATTAAATACGAAATTATATATACAGACATTTGTGTTACAAAGATCATGCATCAAAATGCCAATATATCAAAAGCTGGACGTGCTAAAGAAAAAACAATGCCAGTTTATAAATCAGCACCAGAAATACTTTCCAGACCATACAAAATGATCTCAGAAACATTTTCTCTATTGACCAGTCTTATTTGAAGATTTTCTCGAGACTTATCTTCTCTCTTAGTTCAAGCCTGAGATTTGGAATAAAATCGAATTACAGCAAACGCTTTACGATGATCATTTTTATTTAAGATTGAGCATATCGTCAGTATCGCCAGTGCTGGATTCTTCTTCACCAGTCAAGATTTTTTTGCAACTCTGGGTGAGTAAACGAAGTGTTAATTATTATGTTGGAGAATTTCCAGTTAATTCTCAGCAAGGTATATGTTATGTCAAATGAAGATTTGTCATATTCCATCTTATCTCATATATTATTTTATATCATCTACTGCGTGACACATGACGAAGAAACTTACAGGCGTTCACAATTCCTCGCACTATTTCTTATTGTTTCAGGCGTTCACAATTCTCAGTTAGTCTTATGTTGCTAATCTGACGTTCACTTCATAGAACTTAAACTTTAATGCATTTCCTATTTTCGGAATAGAACATACACGCACAACAATATTATCTTCTTCACTACCGACTGAAATAAATAAAACAAAAACAATTTTGAATTAGCCTATATTGAACTTCAAATCATATTATAGGTTGAAATGTTTTTTTTTTAACATTCCAGAGACTACTGGAGAAAATTGGCATTTATGAAATACTTCCACGCAATCTTGCCCTCATTTACGTTGTACCTACGTTTTTCAAAGGAGGATTTCCTGGGCAGAGTATTTTCAATAATATTCTTGCTTCAGCTGCCGAGGAAAGAACTTTCGTTGGCGACGAGGTAATTTTCCAGAAATCTAAATTTAAAACAGTTAAAGTAGTTGAAACTCTCTAAGTTTCAACATAAGTTGAATGAAAATTTCTAGTGTTATTTTTTGAGAGATAAATAACATTTTCTCATTCGCTCTATTTACCAAAATATTTTAAGTCTTTCATATCAGAAATCTTACGGAAGCATAAATTATAACAAGCTCTCATATGCAATCTTAAATAAATATGGTTCATAACATGTACTAAATTTTATTTGTGATGTTGAAGTTGTTTGTGAGCAATTAAAATTTCTTGGTTACCGATCATTTTTAATAGGAAATAATGCCGGTTCACCTCGCAAACTTCTTCGAAGGTACATCCGCCAGGATGTTTTCTCACGGAGCACAACCAGCAGGTGAGATTTAAGACATTTTTAATGATTTAGTAAATCAATTTAGTAGTTGAACAAAAGTTCATGAGTGCTAATTGTGATAATATCAGCAAATGTTTGACACTAATCAAGTACATCCAAATCCTGAATGATAATTATTTTGCAGAAAAAATATTGAACTTAAAGGGGGCGTCTACCCTAAAGTTTTCGATTTGACTTTTCCAGTTTTTAGTCTCATCTTAAAGCTGACATTCTGCCCTATCCAACGGTACCATTACCATCTCTGTACGTTGATTTATGCGTTCACGACAGATCATGACAGGTGGGTGAATTCTTTAACAAATAAGATAGGAGGAAATTCGCTGCGAGCACTATAAATGGAGTGTCTGCTTGAGGTGCACCTTAGTTACCCGCCTGGCGTCATATGAGGAGATGTGCATGCAGTCGCTCCCACCATCCTTGACTGGAATCAAGCTCCAGTAACGTTTAGTTTCGAATTCTTGCTTCATTGAGTGCCTATTGCGATACGCGCGGGACTTTGTCGCGCTCTTCTGAAAAGTTTTAACTTATTGTCACTGCAAACCTATCTCCTCCTACAGTTTTGAGGCTACCACGATGAGACATATACCATTCGATTCGTAAAGACCATACCTATCGAGTAACAAAGCCATTTTTAGATTTGTGCATACGTTGGATTCAAAATGGGGAAGAGGGGGAAAAATCCGAAGAAAATTAGAAGAAAACGGATTGGTATGGTCTTTAAAAATCGAATTTTATATTTTTCAATGCTGTAGCTTGAAAATTGTAGGAGGAGATAGATTTTTAAAGTACCCCCTTTTTAGCGCATTTTCTCATTTATGGAAAAAATGCACTATTGTGCTTGCCATGTCCGTCAGTCTGTCTGTCCGTCCGTTCGTCTGTCCGTCTGTCCGTCCGTCCGTGACCTCAAGTTTTCGTCGACGAGAAAATGCGCTCTCTGTCACTCACTGCAGTGAGTACTGAGTTATATTTTTTGTCCATTTTCTATGAATTTCACGTTTTTTATTAATTTTTCCGAAAAAATTTTACGAACAAAATCTGCTTGTATTTCGGTTTTACATATATGCGTGAAGTTTCAGAAAGATCCGTTAGTAAATGTGGAAGTTTTTCTGGAGGGTAGACGCCCCTTAAGTGACTTGATGATGCGATCTCTAAGCTGTGAGAAGTTCTATGTAGTACTGAAAATATTAAGCGATTAATTTATGATTAAAATTAGTTGGAATTACATAGTGCCTAAAATTTGTGTAATTTGAACCCGCATAGTGTTGTTGCGGGAGAGGGGGCAACACATATGGGCTACCCCAACGGGATAGTTAGAAAGAATGAACAAACTATATAAATGAAAGCATGAACTATATATTTAATGAACAATGTATAAAAATGAACAAGCGAATCCATGAGAAGTACATCAGTAATAATCTTAGGTAGCTATCAGACGGTAAACGAATGGTTAAACATTGAAGAAAATTAAATTTGGCTGGGTCCATCCGCAAGGTCATCGGTGTTGTCGCCGAGAGGAAGACAGTTCCGCGAAGATAGACAAGTCAAATCAAAGTGTGGGAATCTAGCGGAGGAGCGCATTGCTTGCCGAGATTACAACGGGGCTCTTGTCCAACGTTGCCAACAAGTTGCAGCTTCCTTCTACGCTGTTCAACCGGTAGGAGAGAAATATTCAAATCTTCGACCAAGTCCTGGCGACGTACAGTGCCGGTAGCGTTACCGTCTTGAGACTGGCACTTTAGCTCCGATTGCCTGCAGCCGCACCCGTCCATGGCAGACGAATGAAGTAGACAAAATACAAGAACTTGGTTTCAAATGAACGCTTGGCGGCAGCATCGTAGGTCCATCAAAGGTATATCCCTGCCGACAAACAACTGTGTCCTCCCACGCCCGTCCTGGCAGGCGGCTCAATCGAGAGTGAGCCAACTCCAGCTCATGTCCAATTTCAGCTCCGAGTAATGCGTCGGAAAGAAAGAAGAAGAGCGCGTACGACAGAAAGTCGGACCGCTACAGTGTAATTTAACGACACAAATGCGTTCTAAATTGAGCATCTAAATCAGATATGAGTGCAATATTGCTGTATAATGCATAATATCCGGATGGGCAGACATTGAGTTACGTAAGTTTGACTTCGGAGAGGCGGAGAACCGGCGTCGCTACGGCCATGTCACGCCCCCGGCATACAACGTATCCAGGATACCTTGCCCCGTGGCGCTCTACTGGGCAGAAAATGACCGTTTCATAAATGCCAAGGTGGATTATGATTAACCAAGCGTAATTATTAACTTAAAAAATGAATGAAGCGGATACTTCACTTGATAATGATATAAAATAGTGATAATAATAATTATCAATTTATACTGTTATCGATGTTTGGTTAAAAATAATGCCAGTTTTATTGAGAATTTCTTTTGAGTTTAATTTCTCAAGCTTTCTGATAAAAGATACAATAAGCACGTCGTCTACTAAGCTGCTTGAACTTATTGCCTGATGATGCTCAGTGATGAGCGATACGCGACACAGGATTTACATAACCTTCCATTTGGACAAATTTTAAGACTTGTTGACCCTATTATATTACCTTTTATCAGAAAGCTTGAGAAATTAAACTCAAAAGAAGTTCTCAATAAAACTGGCATTATTTCTAGCCAAACGTGTCTAAATGAAGGGCTCTACCCTAAATATACAAATTGTTATCGATAAAAAGATTATTTGATACCCAACTTCCCGTTATAATTAATGAATAAAATTTTTAAGTGGACACGTACTTTCAAATAAGGTGTAAAGTTGTTTAGATACTCCATTTTATTATTGATTGTATGTAGCCCTTTCCCACCAAAAATTATTTCTACAAGATTCGTGATGGTGGAGAAATACCTTGACGAAAAAAGAAAATATCGAACGAAAGTTAAATAACGACCGAAACCAATTTTTGGATAACTATATAACAAATTATGAAATTTGTATATTTATTTACATACTAGTAGCATATATTCGTGGATTTGAAAGCTAATGAACTTTTAAATTGAATTGAGAGTCATAACCACAAAGAGTTTGTTCAGTTTAGAGTTGTTTATTTACTCAAATTTCTGTGTTTCAAGTTGTGGTGCTGGCTAAAGAGCAAACCATGCACCCTATCAGAAAATACAACAAAATACTAACTGTGGAATATAGCTAAATCGTACACAAATATTGTATTCTTTTGTTCAGAGATAATAACTTATTCCTGTTTTCAGGACGTCCGGATGCTTGAGGAAACCGTACCAGGATTCAAAAGGAGTTACCGCGTCAACAGCGAGTCTTTCGATCATGTGGACTTTATTTTCTCTAAGAAAGCTAAGACTCTAGTTTACCAAGATATCGTTGAGCTCCTAAATCAATACTGAAGCATGAGCTTTCAAATGAAACATTTCAATTTTGTGGTTAACTTTTCAGGGATATTTTTTTTACTTTAGTGGGATTTACAATTTTTGGATGTATAATTTTAGTTGACTCAGTAGTTGCATGGCAAAATTTTCTATCGATTTGTTTTAGTTTTTAACAGCAGAGTTTAGATTTTTTAACAACTTGGAAGTGTTTTGTTTTATACTTAACTATCAACCATAGATGCTCCAGAGGTAAAAAACTAGGGATAAGAATATTTATAATTTTCCCTTTTAGTTTAAATTATCTACTGCTCAAATTAATTGTTATCGTTGGTTATTCGTCTATCATTTGTTTTTTAAGCATTAATTTCATAATGAATAGTTAGAAATGATTCTTAATGAAATTAATTACAAGTTCGTAATAGAGATTTTTACATAACGAACCATGATTCGAAATTAGAAGTTTAATCAAATAAAGACCCACCAAAGTTCAACAAATTTTGCTATTTTTTTATCGTTCCTCACAGAGAATGAATTATGTTGTTGAAATTTTTATATGCATCATTAGTGGCCAAACTTTGGGCCTATTTTATTTATCAGTGGAGCACCGTCAATAATTTCCAATTTGAGTTAGAAATTTTAGCCCTATATACGTATGCGTGAAAAAAAAGTCTCGTATCATTCGAGTCACAGCTCCCAGACCAACGGCAAATTTAATTTCCGCATTATTTCCATGCTGAAACTGAAGGGATTTTGTTCGAACAGCATTAATATACAATTTGTCGTATATTTTCATGTCACTGAATGCCATACATGAGCTGAAATAAATGATTGAAACTTAAGTCCTATTTTCTTTGGTTGACCAAAATAGTAAAAATTCACCAAATATGAATCAAATTGTTGTCATTTTGGATAAGAAATTCAAGTAATTGTGCCACTCCAGACATTACACTGTGGAGACGATTAGGAGTTTTCTGTACATCCATTGTGACCTCTAGGAATGTCTTTTGCAATTCGTCCGTTTATGTAGGCACAAATTAATCTTCGGCGTTTTTCGCCTCCCCCACACAGAGAATAGATGTACAAACAAATAAGAAATGTCCACTATGCAATTAGAGTTATTTTAGATTGAATACTTCACGTGTTTATTCTATAATAATACGAAATAATTTTTGCTCTTAGAATATGAAACTGAATTGCGAATTTTATTCACCATTTAGGATTCAATGATTGGTCACCATTTATTTCTCGTCGGCCCATTAATTTTAAGGGAAAAGGATATCACAGCCTAGCAGCTTTGTTCTTGTTTGAGCTTCGACGACCGATGCCCTTTGGGTTTATTGCCGGAGGTGTTTGAATGCATGCAGCCTGTTTGGTTTAGTGCCTATAATGCAATATATAAGCTCATGCTGCTGGCTGCCAGTGAATGATCGCCTATTTCACTGTAGGAATATCCACAGCTTCTTTGATTATTTGAAACAAAGTATTTTACTTACTGCCTCAGTGAAAATTACCCTGTTATAACTTAAAAATAACAAAAGTAGAAGGGATGCAAAAAGTTTTAAACTAGTGCTTCCCTATTAGTTCAGTAAGGAATTGGTATTTACTAACACAATCGGACAAAATAAATATAAACATGGAATCGATTTAATTTATTCAAATTATTTCATATATTGGTTGAATACTTCTGTTCAAGATCCAACGCCTAATTAAAGTAGCGTAAGACATTCTAAATTATATACTACAGTTTATAGTGAGGGAATTCTGGTAAAAGTTTGATAGTAGTCATGAATACCGACGGTCGTATTAAATGGTCAGTTTTGCCAAAATTGCGAAGAAATGATTGGATAATTTACCATATGACATAGACGGAATCACGAATATGGCTCCAACAATGACAAATGATTGAATGACAAAATTACAATTCTAAGATTTGCGTGCGTCTCTGTGCTAATGCTGTGCTAATGCAGCATAAATAATACACTCTAGGCGGACAATTATAATAGGAAAGGTCAGTTGGACACTCGACGTTAGAAAATTCGAGAAAAATGTAAGGAAACCTTGATAACAGCTGAGGAAACTGGTGTCTCAGCCAACACTGCAGAGCACCTTTACATGAAAGTTGATACCTGAAAAATTAATTATTGATTTGTCTAGAGTACTTAAATATTATTTTAATTAATTCAAATAGAGTAATTAAATATAGATTTTTAAATATAAAATTAAATATAATTAAGTAAAAAATAGCACATTCACTCCAACAAAACGATAGTGAAACAGCTTTCATGAAGATAGGTAAAATTTAAAGAACTGCTGGGGCTGTGATGTGAATGAATAACTGATCCAAAAGTGAACAATAAAAAAATTTGAACTATTAAGACTATTTATGTTCTGAGAATGAACAAGGAATTGGTTAAGTGACTGGAATGATTGCTGGCCAACAACTAAATAACTCTAGCTGAAACTACTACCTAATAAAATTAAGAAGCTGAATACAAAAACGGAATACAACCTGAACTAAAACGAAAACCAACAAAAATTAACAAAGAACAATAAAATTCATTTATGGTGGGAAAAATTTCCCGCAGTTATTCATCAGGTGACGAACTTGCACACGTTTGGTCAATTTCCAGTTCGAACGAAATTCTTGCCATGCTAAAGGCCGGTAACATCAGCTGGTCTGTCAATCTGTCCTGCTGGCAATAAATTTAATTTGACCTAACGCTCTCACACGACAATTTGATCTCGTCTGCGTTGGACTGAAGGATTCCTCACTCCACTTCTCGTCAGCGTCTTAAAGCTCTGACTATCACTAGGAATCCTATACCTCGGACTACCACAAGGACACCCTATATAGCGGTCAAGGCAGTTAGGGACTGCGGTGTGATGTCGAGTGATGTATAGAAAGGAACCGGCAGAAGGATAAAGGGAAACCGGTTTAGTGAATTTTAAAAGAATAATTGAGCCGGAAAATCGCGTGGTTTTATCACCGTATTCCTGAAGTTCCTTTTACCCAAGAGCGAACTTATACATTTAATTAAAGATAGATAAGTTTTTTATTTTATAAGGTTAACGTATTTGATACAATTTTAATATTTAAACGTAATCAGATGAGAATTTTTTTCATGTACATAAATGGTGAGTATTATTATTGTAGTATAGATGTTAATAACGATGACGCCGAGTGAATCGTGACATTTTTGTTTCGAACTCTATTCAAAGCAGCGATTGTTGGTTTAGTCGGCAGAGCGAGGTTCGTGTTGGAGGTCAGCAATGTCCTTATTCACAATCAATTCTTATCCATTTTCGGGATCAAACATGGGAGAGAGCAGATTAGTTTATGTGATTCAGTTATAAAAGCTGGAAGAGACTGGAAGTTCGCAGACTGGAATTGCTCGAACCTGTTCGTTCTTCACATATATAAATCCATCATTGCCTTACCTCTACACTTACACCTCGACTCTCTACTAAACTGAATCTTTATGACAATTGTTTCCTTAAAACGCAAGCTTACTAAAAATTTAGAAGCAAAGAAAATTCAACACAAATTCATATTCTCGTAGAAAACGTTTCGGAGTCCAGCTCCATCGTCAGTTCGTATAATCTAGAATTCATATAAAAAAATCACAAATTCATACAATTGAAAGTCACAGAACCGAAATTAAAATCGGAATTTACAAATAAAAGACAGTGAACAAAAAACTATCAATTCACAATTTCAAGGGGATGGGAGCTAGAAGCTGGATTCAAACTGGGTCTAAGTTTTAAAATGTACAAGGATTCTAAAATACGCAGATCTGAAGTACCGCAGGTGGAAGCAGTGTGATGTCCCTGTTTCTGACAGTGACTTTAGGGTGTTAGCTTCCACCCACGGTACTTCAGATCTGCGTATTTTAGAATCTTTAATGGGGGATTTTTTGCGTATTTTAGATTCTTTTTTTAAGGAAGTAGAGATGCGAGGTGAGTGAAAAATTAGCGAACTTAGAATGTTCTAACAATATTCATCGCAAATAACCTGGAAGTTTAAAATATTGCAGACATCCAAATTTTTGCTCGATTTGATTAGCCAAAAGAAGTTTTGAGTCTCGTCAAAATTTAAATCACATATGATGCAATTTAATAACATTTCAATCAAAAAACGCTCACAATAATTCAATCTGGAACGAAATTACCGACAAAACTCAGCCTACAGTCAATTTTCGCCTGTTCGTTCACCGTCATTCAATTAATGCATTGTCACATTAAATGTATACTGGCGTTTCAGCTGCACTTTTCGCTGGCCTGCTAACAAACGCAACACTCTTTTGATTTCTTGGTAAAATTAAAAACCTTGTTGCACCATCTTATCTTGTGTGGTGAGTATGTGGATAATATTTTCTCTCTCCTGAGAGCTCATCGAGCTGATTTGATGCGCACGTAATTGTACTTGTTTTGATGGATGTCAACCGACAGAAATTGTACTGAAGGCATACCAGCATTATTTAATTCATGAACGCGATGATTTGTACAAGATTGTTCACATATATTAATTGGATTCACACGCATGAAAATTAGCTTCTACTTTCTAAATAGCTCTCGGCAAAGTATTTTATACGAATTTTTTTATTTTATTTTGTATGGCATTGTATTGTTTTGTATCAATATATTGAATACGACTGTAAAAATATAATGTTTCAACAGAACACCTGAATTCCTGAATTGGAATTATGCGACTGTATTTTTGTCCCTTTGCTTAAGGCATCAGAATAAGATTTGTTAACAAAATAAAATTCGCACCCTAATTTGTGAGTTGCAAAATATTCTAGACGGAAATTCAAATTCCTCATAAATGAATTTGAGTGGAGAAAGGCGCCTGGAAATTACAAAACGCTAGAATTTTCCAAATGCGAAGCATCATCAATGGAGGTTCTCTTGCATTTCTGAGAAATGACTATAAATATTTTTATGGCATGAATAGGTGCATCCACAATTCGTGCCGTTTCTTGCTTGTTATTCTAGTCAGCCCTTATAACTACGACAAATCAACAACATCA